GTCTTTTTAAATAATACTATCCCGCGCAGGGCGCAGATACCACACTAGTTCTACAAACAATTATTAAACAAAAACTGTAAAATATTATTATCCACACAATATCCAATAAACTTAAAAATTGCATAAAAATGTAATAGATTTTGAAACAAACAAACGCCTTCAAAACGTCTTATTTTATGAAACCAAAGGGAATATTAAACACAAGGGAAAGTTTTCTAGTTCGCTTTCTAGGTTGAGAATAAGGGAAATATCCAGCTAACGCAGTCTTGATGCATTCGAGATAGAAACTTGACCAAACTAGTCTGATTTCAAATTACTTGATAACGCTCATTCTATCACTGGCTCGTAATGCCTTAGCCACACTCCAGTATAAGCCTATGCAGCCACACGATATAATGAGCCATGAGCAAAAAAAAACAACCTTTTGATATATCAAAGATGTATGTATCTATGTATAATATATTACACATTAGCCGAAATAAACCTCTTTTGGTCATTGATCTATCTAAAAGAGTAAGTATCTACGTATAAATGTATATATTACCAGTGAGCAAAAAAAACATTGTTCAAGTAACTCATTGATCTGTGAAAGAGTGTATTTTACCTGTTGGGGTCTTACAATCTTAGTGTCAGGATCAATTAATGACTCACACCAATGTGACAAGTATCCAGCCATACGTGCAACTGCGACAAATTCTCGTGGGATTTTCATTGCCCTGTGTTTTGTTTTACCCATTTCAATTACCAACACAAAAGCTTCAGGTATAGTTTCAACAACTCATTAGCAAGAATTTGTTCGATTGACTCATCCATATCTTACCTATAGATCAATCCAGTGTAGAAATCAACATTTGGGTAAATCTTTCTCTTAACAAAATATTCGTCAGAGAGTGCTGCCTTCTCTAGAGCAATTGCTACCTGAAAACATCATACATCAAAATATTTCTTAAACCAAACCATCTACTGGTAGAGATAAAGTGAGCTCAAGGAACTTAAGTACCTCGATCAGAGGATCTTTTTCGACAATGGAGAACACTTCTTCCGCCAATTTCGTGATGAGTTTTGCTCTTGGATCGTAGTTTCTGTAAACGCGGTGTCCAAAACCTGATATCTTTCTCTTCCTGAGAGAAAAGAGTTTAACATTAATGGAACAACTCATAACAATCAAGATATTTTTAGTCTTAAAATACCTATTCTTCACGCTTTCAATGAACTCTGGAATGTTTTCAACAGTCCCAATCTCTGATAACATCTTAGGCACAGCCTCAATTGCACCACCATGAAGTGGACCGTAAAGAGCTCCGAGAGCTCCCGCAACGACAGTGTACACATCAGCACCACTATGTATAAACAATATTAATTACAAAGAGAAATACACTATGTATAAACAATACTAATTAAAAAGAGAAATTCCTTAAAATACCAGTAATAGAAGTTTTTGTTCCAAACATATCATCATTAATTTTGTTTTTCCGAAAATACCACAAAATTGTTTTTTTTCTAAAAATACCAAAAACACCAAA